ATGGACACATCTGTGTTCTAACTGAAAACAGACGATTCTAAAGCGTGAGAAAACAAAGTAGCCTGGGAATCTGTCCTTTTATTCGGTGGATGTAAGTGGTTTCCCAAATTAACCAACAAAATCTATAGGGAATAGGGTGACCAGATGGTAACTTGAAAATATCGGGACCGCCTGCAGCGACAATTCGGCAGAGGGTCCTTCAGTCGCTGACGGTCTTGGGTGGCATTTCGGCGGTGGGTAATAAACCTTGCCGCCAAAGACAGAAGTACCCGCCGCCGAAATGTCGCCGAAGACAGTCAGCGACTGAAGGACCCTCTGCCGAATTGCTGCCGAAGACCCTCCCGGATAGATCTTTCGTGGCCCAGTGGTTAGGCCATTAGCCTGGGACTCACGAGACCAGGATTCAGTTGCTTGCTTCACCGCAGACTTCCTGTGTGATCTTGGGCAAGTCACTTGGTGTCTCTGTGCCTCAGTTCCACATCTGTAAAGTGGGATAATAGTACCTCCCAGGGGAGCTGAGCAGATAAATACACTAGGAAGCCTCAGATGTTCCAATACTATGGTAATCAGGGCCTCAATAGATAGAAAATGTGGCATGTTACTGTCCAAAGCAGAGGAAGGAAGGATTAGGAGCTCCAGCTGCTCAGCCCCTCCATGTAGTACTGGCTCTGCTGATGCGTATGTGTGTGGCAGAGGGGCTGGAGAAGAGCTGTGGAGTATTAACTGCTCTTTATGACATCATCATTGGGTTTGGGCACATTTCTGAATGGAAATGGACTTGGGGTGAAAGCTCTTCAGCAGGGTAGGGCAAACTGGCCACATCTTATCGCTTCTCCCCCCAGACCCTCCCCCCCAAATTGGTAGAACTGGGGGGGGGGGGGACCCTGAGTGAGACTTTGGCTTCTCAGCTCCTCTGAGGTTTTACATGTAGGGTTAGCATGTCACCATTTATTGCAGGGAGCATGAATCTCTTTCCTGACTGCTTGATGCTGACCTTGTGAATTACACCTGCATGCTCACGTGGCCATATTGCCCAATAGGTCCATGAGAGATTGTGGATGTAGCAATTTTAAGGACACTCTTTTAAAGAGGAGAGTTGGGCCAGCAGAGGGATCCAAAGGAGTAGGTGGCTGGCCAGCATGTATTGGACAGATGCAGTGTGTCATCTGGCCTAGGGGAGGAGCGTGAGTGTAGTGTAAATGCTTGGATAGCAGTGTGCACAAGAGTGGAGTAGTGAGGGAGGAGAGAGGCTAAAGGAGCTGTAGAACTGGCCAAGCAAAGCGCCCTGTTAAAAAAGAAAAGGTTGTCGCATGGTGGGAGAGTTGCAGCCCTTGGATATCTGGGGTGTTCCTGCTATGACCACAAAAATAGAGACGGGAGTGCATAGTTCTCAAGGCTTAGAGTACTTGTTTGCATTCAAAAAGAGCTACATGTGGGATGCCAGCAGATCCCAATCAAAATAAGAGCGGTAAGTGAGCAAGCTCTGCTAGATGAGAACATAGACACAGCCTCCGCTCTATAATGTCTGAAGAAAGCTTGCTGGCATGCACAGCACTTCTGAAAGATGAGGTAGTGAGAAACTTGACCGCAAAGGTAGCATTAATAACAATACCAATTTGCCCTAATGCTGTTTGACTGTTAAAGCTGAACTTTCAAGACATGAGTAGGTGTCTTCTTACTGCCTACTACTCCTATTGATTTGAGAATATTATCAGCAAAGGGGAAATGAATGGACATTGGAGCAGTGCAGGGTGAAGCAGTAGCTGTTAATGAGGAAAAAAGAGCTGAGTTCATTTCCAGCTCCTTCATCATTTTGAGAGGAATGTTCTATAAGAATAATGGCCACATGGATGGAGCAGCTTCAGAGTACACAATAAAATGCTGCAGGTAACAGGAGTGAGTGAGCACAATCTCTCGCAAATCCTAGTACCTTACAAAGGGATGCTTAACCTCCTGTATAGACACAACAGTATTAAAGTACAAATATACATTGTGCTTAACCCTGGCTGTGCTGAAAACCCCACATGGCTGTTATGGGGTGTTCAGGGTTATGGATGGTACATATAGAAACTAAGTTCAAATCAGGTCCATATTCAGGACACAGCTCTCCCAAGGTCAGGGCTGTCTGTATAACTCACAAGCAGCAGGCTAGCGGCTTGTGTTCTGGTTTCCTTCTGATAGTTGTCTCTCACTGAGGATAAGAGCTTGCTATTGCTTTATAGTTAAAGGAGTTACTCTTTCAGCTCAAGTGGTAGGGACTTGGACTTTTAATGTTGAAGACCTTGGATTCTTTCTTTGTGTGTGTGTGTGTGTGTGTAAGATAGGATTACTAGTTAATAAGCGTTTTAGAATTTAAAGGGATCATTTGGATATATTCAGATTGAGTAATGTGTGTGACTTGGGATGCATTGGTTGCATTCCACCAGCTCTATATAGCAAAGTGTGGTAGGAACTACATCAAGTGGTCATTCATCATGTTACTTTCTTCTTTCCTTCAGTCTGTCAGTACAGCCTCTTATTAGGGATAACCCTAAAAATGATTCTGTAGAACCACCAGACTGGTAACTTGACACTAGTATTGAGGCAAATGGTAGATTACTAGTCCAACAACCCTTTCTTGTCCAGCCTCCAAAAATTGATTTATCTTCCTTGAATTCTGCCTAGTAATTAAATTTCTGCCATAAGCTGCTTCTGCTAGTTCAGTTATACCTCCCTTTTCATTGACAATAGATTTAATGGTCCATGCTAAATATACAGACTAACTTCTGCAGCCCAGCTAAACTAGGCTCTTTAGGATTGGAGCCAGGACTTATGATTTTAGGTAACAATGTCCAGTACTTCTCCTGAAGACCCTTTAAAATGGGGGGAACACACACACACACACACACACACACACACACACACACACACACCATATATAAAAATGATTGTGTATATTCTAATCCCGGAGGAGGAAATAGCTTTTAATTCGAAGTTACTAATTAAGTGATCAAATACAGTATTCTGTAACTTACACTGTTACAGTAAGTGGAGGAGGAAGGATAGTTCTATGGCAAAAGCACATGACTAAGTCAGATGAGCTGTTTTGGTTTCCTCCTCTGCCACTGACTTTGTCTTTGGGAAAGTAATTTAAGGCCTGATTTAACTCCCACTTGAAGTCATTCCATTGAGTTTAGTGGGGGCTGGATTTGTTTTATAGACTCACCTGACCCTCAAATTTTCTTATCTGAAAAAATGGGAATACTTGCTCCCAGAGGGATGTTGAAGCTAAATTAATTATCTAAGGGTTTTATTCCGCCACCCCTCATTGTGGTATCTGAGCACCTTCCATGTAAAATCAATAGTAATAGTAAAGTTCCTAGTGGACTTCCTGGAGTCTTTTGACACTTCTTCTTTTTCTGGGTTAAAAACTCTGTAATAATGTTTGTAAAGAGCTTTAGGATCCTTGACTGGCAGGCCCTGCAGAGATCCAAAGTAGTAGTATTCTCTGTTCTGTTGAAGTAAGATAATGGACTGTAAGAGAAGCCATTTCTAATCTTTTATAACATTATTAATGGCTCCAGAAAACTAAACTGGTGTCCATGTAGTTCGGTTGCCTTTCTCCTATTCCTAGATCTGGACAAATTATAATATTTGGAGGTTCAAGACCAATGCTTGCATGTTGGGATTTTTCTTTAAGCTAAAATTGACGTGTTCTTTCTGAAGAACATATGACAGTATCAAGCAGGGAGGATTGTGTAAGTGGACTTTGAAGGCCAGTAGAATTGATTTTTGTTCATGCACAATAAGAGAAATCTACATACTGATCAATTCCCTAACAGTTTTCTGTATTTCAGGACAAATAGAATGTACATTTAGGCTGTAAAGTCTCATAGCTCTATGCCTGGGTGGGGAATCTTTTTTCTATCAGAGACCACTGACCCACAAAAAAACATCAGTCGCGGGCCTCACAGCTCCGTGGGTGGGGGTGGGGCTGTGTGGTGGCTCGGGGCTTCCCCTAGGCTACAGGGTGAGAGGGGACTCCAGGCTAGGGCCAAGTGGTTTGGAGTGAGGGAGCGGGCTCAGGTCTAGGACAGGGGGTTGGGATGCAGGGTTTGGGCTCCGGGAGGGGGCTCAGGGCTGGGGTAGGAGGTGGGAGTGTGGGGTGCAGGCTCTGGGAGGGTGTTTGGGTGCAGGAGGGAGTTCCGATCTGGGGTAGGGGGTTGGGGTTGTGGGGTCTGGGAGGGAGTTAAGGTGTGGGAGGGGTTCGGACCTAGGTCAGGGGGTTTGGGGTGCAGGCTCCGCCAGGGGACGCTTACCTCTGGTAGCTCCCGGTCGGTGGTGCAGCGGGGCTAAGACAGGCTACCTGCCTCCCAGGGCTCCGCGCCGCTCCCAGAAGTGGCCACCATGTCCAGCCCCTAGGCGGTGGGTCCAGGGGGCTCTGCTTGATGCACGCAGGCACCGCCCCCACAGTTCCCATCCCATTGGCCGTGTTTCCTGGCCAATGAGCGCTGCAGAGTCAGCACTGGCAGTGGGGGGCAGTGCACAAAACTTCCCTGATGGCCCCTCTGCCTAGGGGCCATAGGGACATGCCAGCCCCTTCTGGGAGCTGCGCTGAGCCGACCAAATTTTTAACAGTCTGGCAACCCCAGCTGTCCCCTGCAGCAGGGTGAGCCGGCACTCGTGGCTCCAGTCCCAAGAGGTGAGGGGCGGGGGGCCGAGGTGAGGGGTTTCTGGCCCACGGCTCCGAGACTTGTTGCAGGCCGGCTGAAATGAAGCAGCGGGCCAAATCCAGCCCATGGGCTGTAGGTTCCCCACCCCCGCTCTATGAATTTGGAGTGACTACTGAATAATACTCAGAATTTTCACACTAAGGGCCAAATTTTGATCTGTTACATTTGTGCAGCCCTGTTGACTCAAGAGATGTGCACAGGAAGGCCACAAACAAGATTTGTCCCAAAGACTGTAACTTAGGGGAAAACTCTAGGTACATTATGTATGTCTTATGCTTTTTCTTTCAGGCAAGTGAATGCATCTGAATTGCTCTGAGGAGATTCAAGATAAGAGGTAAGGCTTGTTGTTTCTCCCTCCTCCTCTTCCCCCCCCCCCCCCCCCAGCTTCTGCCCCCATTCAAGGCACCCAACGATATGAAAGAACAGAAAATGTAAACCTCAAAACTTGGCTTGCGGCAAGTGTTAATCCTCTGCATTGAGCCAAATTTGGGGTCACACTTATGGTCAGGATGCTTTAATTGTTGAACTGAAGGACAAGTCTGGTCTTTACATCAATGTTAAAAACTTTTATCTTCACACCAGAATGAATTTCCTGAGAATTCAGTAATTAAGTTTTTATCTTTTTAAGCTAATTTATCTCCAGTGGGGGAAATTTGTACAAATTAGATTGTATTCAGAGCTAATAGTCTATGCTGCCCCATGAGGGCAAAGTCCTCCTTTCCATTTCAAAGGACGACTTCCTTGAGAACATAACTAACCTATTTAAATTGAATAGAATGGAATTTTAAAGTTTGGAATAACTCACTTTTGCCTCCGATTAATGTGACTTGTGTCTTCATAGCATACTCATGTATGCCATATGTCTCTATGTAGTTAAAATTAGGTAAACGAAACATTAAAATACTCAGCAAATGGGAAAAGATAAGTAAGGTTCCTACAGAAGTATTAATGTGATCACATTATGCACATGCAAGAGCCAGCTTTTAAACTGGTGTGAATCAGTGTAGCTACCAGTTGCGGATCTGGTCAGTAGTATTCTCTTACTGTTCCTGGATAAATGTGTAGTTATTGCTACTGCATTTCCCCTTTCAATGCTAATTTTTTCCCAATAAGATTAACACAATTATATCATTACACGTTAATTGCTCAGGAAGTTTATCCTTTAGTTTCATTTCCCCAGTGCACAGGATACAAGCTATTAAAGCGATCGTGTGTTCAGATTAAAAGGCCGGGGGCATTCAACATCGGTTAATTTTCTGGACCACCTCCCCTTCTGTAAAATAAATATCTTTTTCATTACAGAAGATCCCAGTGTATTTCACAACTGTCCACACACAGCACAACTGAAATGCAGCCACCTCTTTTGCACAGCATGCTGCACAATATTTTGTGTGTCCATGTTGGAGGGGGTGAATTTCTGCCAAGAACCCCTACTCTTACTAAAGAGCCATTAAATTTGTCCATGCAGAACAGACAGGACATCAATTAAATTATTTCACAAAGACCCCCCCCCCCCCCCCACACACACACATAGTGCATGACACCCTAATTTCTTACATAGGACAAAGGATTGAGTCAAGCCTGCTAGGATTTGAATTTGTGGCTTAAGTCTAAGTAGACATCTCCTATGGCTAACACCATAACCTTTATGGATGTGTGTAGTTGAAGCAGCAAACCCCTCTTCTCCCAACTCCCCTATGTGGGCACAGTTATATCAATATAGAAGTGCTTATACCAATATAGCTTATTCTGGTTTGGGAACTGTAGTACCAGTATAAAGCACTTTTTATACCGGTATTACTGTGTCCATACTAGGGCTTTTACTGGACTAACTATATCAGCAAAAAGTCACACCCATCACTAACATAATTACACTAGTACAGCTTTCAGTATAGACCAGCCCTTGGGCTCCTAAGTCACTGAGGTGCTTTTGAAAATGTTAATGTTTCCTGTTCTTTATTTAGAACAATAAATTCTACAGGATCACAATCTACAGGATATAGGAAAAACATGGCAGGTGAAATATATTGTAAGACCCCGAAAGTTTGTGGGGGTCTCAGAGACATAAGTAGTACCTGAAATTACTTTATTCAATTTGGAAAAAAGTTCAAATTTTGAGTTGGTGGTGTCCTAAAGCAATAGTAACTCACCACATTGAAGTGTGCAATGTATATGTTGTATAGCCTAAACAGTAATATATTAAGATGAATGTTTGAATAGGAAAAAAATTATGGTCCCAATTCAGGGAAGTACTTAAACACGTGCTTATGTGCTTCCCAGATTGTTCAATCAGGGCCTATGCCATAGCACCCAATCTACTTAACCATATGCCTGTCTTTAAGCAAATGAGTAGTCCCACTGGGACTCTTTATGCACTTAAAAGTTAGTCATGTGGTTAAAATGTGTGCTGAATTGGGGCCTATGTGAGCAGAACAGCTCAATTAACATTGGTATAGGAACCTTTCCTTCTGTATTTCTTGACTTTAAAGACTTCTATTGTGCAGTGTTAATAGTCGTGCATTTGTGCAGCTTTGTATTCGAATTTTACTGATGCGCTCTCTGTGCAAAGTTTGACTAACGAAGTTCTACCTTTGTGTATTTTTTTCAGAATAAAATAAAATACATCTGCATACTGCTAACTGTAACCTTATAATTTGGTTTGACATACCAGTAAATATCCAGTTAATGAGTACTGAGTTAATAAAATACATTCCAAATGATGCATATGCAATCTTGCAGCTAGAAGTTTTTCAATCCCTACTTTAAACTCTTTTCAATTTCAATTTTTGTGTTGGCGAATAGCTTTCTGAATAAAACTGACAGTTTTAGAACTGTAATTTAATTGGCATTTATGGGGTGAACAATCTGTCATTACATGATGCTGCAGGTGTTCTTACAGGGTTTTCACAAGGTTTAATTGTGTTGTGCAAGAAACTTAATGATAGCATGATACACCTCCAGAAATGGATTTGTGATGCTCGAAACATGACACACTTAATGTTTTAAAATTGGGCCCTTCTGGTTTAATTTATGAGTTGTTTTTAGAGTCTGTTTTTCCATGTGACTTGAGGTTTCACAGAGGCACGATATCAGGTATAAACAGGAATGCAATGAGACTCTGTCATGTGCCCTGCCTATATTCACAACCTGTGTATGTAAGGTGTGATGGCTTATTTTGGTGTAGTAATGTTTGCATGTCATTCATGCAAATGTCTCACAATGCACAGACATTGCAATGGTCGCTAGATATGATGGGGTTGGGGGATGGGGGGTTAATAGACTAGGAGATGCATAGGGAACTGGTAACCACCAGTGTAGGAAACCAACAGCTGCTGTTGATAGTGTCGATAAGGTGAGTATCAAGCTGTTTTGGGGGTTTTTTTGGGGGGGGGAGGGGTGGTTAAGGATTGGTGAGCTGCATAGCTGGTGCAGAAGATCAACCTCAAACAGAGTAGATTGGGTTGGGGTCTGAGAGGCCAAAACTGAGAGGAGGCAGATCAGTGGCAGCAAGTGAAGGTATTGGGAGAATGAGATCAGAGATCAGATTGAGGGGCATAGCCGCGAAGGGTTTTGAAATCCAGGAGACAGAATTTGGGAGATTTCTATGGCTGAGGTGTGGGGAAAGCGGTCGTGTGTATTCTTGCTGGTGAGCATATTTGCAGCGTTATTCTGAATAGACTGGAGACTTGCTGAGAGTGATTCTCAGAGGTGGTAGAGGAAGGAATTGCTATAATCTGCATGAATGAGTGGCTGAGAGAGGACCGGGCATGAGGCAGTGGTGTGCATACACTGTTGTGGAGGTGGTAATGGGCAGATCTAATACTGTGAGGTCTGAAGGACAAAACACTGCAAATATCACAGAAAGCAATTTTTTTCTGGCAGGTAAATGGGCTGCTTGGTTTAACCAGTCTTTTCCAGTTCCACAGTGTATGAAGAAAGATCTCCGGTTCAGCACTGAAACCTACAGCCAGAACTACCGTGTTTCCCCGAAAATAAGACAGTGTCTTATATTAATTTTTGCTCCCAAAGATGCGCTAGGTCTTATTTTCAGGGGAGGTCTTATTTTTCCTGGAGCTTCGGGGCCTTATATTCCGGGGTGGCCTTATTATCGGGGAGGTCTTATTTTCGGGGGATGTCTTATATTACAGCGAGAGGCAAAACTGGAAGTAGGTCTTATTTTCGGGGGATGTCTTATTTTCGGGGAAACAGGGTAGCAAGTTCTTGAATTCAGAATGATAGAACTAGAAGTCTAAAAGCGGTTGCAGAATCCAGAGCAAGAGAGATTTATCCGGGCAATAAACCGACTTTCCTAAACACTTTAATCAAAAACTGAGCTGTCCTTATCTTAAAGGGATGTTAAAGATGCCCCTATATCTTGAAAACTCTACCAAATGGAAGGGTGTATGAGGTATTAGGTTGACTTCTTACCCATGAAATATCACAGGACTGACAGTAATAGTAATGGAAATAAAACCCTTTATCTACGGCCCAGGAAATGGTAGGGTAGAGTGACCAGGTACCCTGGTTGTATTGGAATTATCTCGAATTGCAGTCAGTGCTCCTGAGTCTGGGTGTTTTGGGAAGTTGTGTGGAATTTTTTTGCACCCCAACACCCAGTTTCATTAAAAACTGGCCATTGCCCATCCAGCTACTCCTGCTGGATAGCTCCTCTTACATTAAGTCGTCTTTTTACCCATCTCCTCCTGGCCTGCAGTACAACTTGTTCCCCCTCTCCGCACAGCCCCTATTCTTTCTCTGCCTCTGCTCGCTCTCCTCCCTCACATCTGTCTTTGTACCCCAACTCCCAGCCACACTGTAGCTATATATTCCCCTAGTGTGATGGAATCAGAAAGGAGGAGGCAGCAGAAAAGCAAATAATTTGGACTGTGCTAAAGCATAAAGTGGGGGAAAAGGTGGGACCTGTAGGAAGGGGAGTGCCATTTAACCTTCCCAGTAGTCGCATGGCCCGGAGTGTGCCCTGAACCCTAATATGCCTGTTTGGCAGCCCAAACCCTCCTGAGTGTTTCTGAACTCTTATTCCCTACAAACATAGTTCCCTAGCTTGAGGATTAAATCCTGGTCACCCTATGCAGTGCAACCTCTGATTCTTCCTAATTTTCCTCCTCCTTGATTTGGGATTGTGGGGAACTTCTGGAGATGAGAAGGTAATATAGTTCCTTGCCCATTCAATCCATGACCTCTGAGTCTGCAGTAGTTAACATGGTCCCTTGTTCACTGACAGCTAGATTAATTTATGCCTGCTTTCTCCCAAAGCCCTAAAAGGTGGTGGACCCAGAGCACCTCTTTTAATGCTACCCACTCATTCCCTGTCAT